CATGCTAAGGAATTGCCACAATTGATGGCCACTTCTGGCAGGCAGCAACATGGCCCAGGAAAACATGGCTTACCCGCTTCTTCAAAATGTACATGAGGAAGAGATAGTGGGGCCTGGTGGGGTGGGAATCAGGTCTATGGTAATCTGGTGGGAGGGTGAAAAGGGCTGTGGGAGCCCAACCATCACTTAACAACCATCACCACTTGTGACCATAATTGGCAGGCTCCGTTATGGTCATATCTGAAAGACTACCTATAATTTATGTCTATCGAGATTCTCAGTCATCCAGGTCATAGTTGTCCCAAAGACGCTTTTTCACAAGGAAACTGGACTTGTTTTTCTTTTGAAGACATTTCGCTTCTCATCCAAGAGTCTTCTTCAGCTTTTTGTTTTTCTTTGGGAGACATTTTGCTTCTCATCCAAGAAGCTTCTTCAGCTTAGAAAGAGATGTGAATTGATTATTGGAAGAGTTTGCACTCACTATACAAACTAAGGAGAGCCATTTGATCCTAGAGTTCCTAAAATGATCCAGGATGATACCAACTTTGTGAGATCATATGGATCCTAGTAATGAGATCTCAGAACTAGAACTCATATCTATTTCATACAATTGAATAACTTGTCCTCACTGTTCACATGAACCCAAATATATAGATGAAATAAAAAATGGAGATGATTAATTAATTGGTTAATTAACTGATTAATAAAAATATATAAAATTGTGATGTGAGTGATGCAAGCAGGCAACATGCATAGGTACATGTCAGGGAATTGCACAGCACATGTCCAAATGAAGTCAGAGACACTGACACAAACTTGTAGTTTTATATAAATAAATAGATTTTACATCTATATTTACAGCAAAATGGGTAGTCAGGGAAACAGGAGCATCATGAGGTAAATCAGAGAAGCATATAGGGCACACAGAAGAAAAAAGGCGGGAAAAAAGGGAAACTCCCCCTCCACACCTACAGCAACCAATAACAGCAGGGATTGCCTCACGCAGGAGCCAGCATTCTCCAATCAATCAACTACAACTGTGTATTCTGGCTTATTGTACAACTCCACTTTTCCCACTACTAAATTTAAATATCTTTTTTATATATACTGTATATATATATATTTAATTTTATTTTTAAATTAAATATCTTAACAGTACATCACCTACAATCTGTTAGATTTGAACTGTTTAATAACCTATGTAATAGATTAATAAATCACTGGTAAATGAAATAATTACAAATATATCACTACTGCCATATAAGATTTATGCATATTTTAAGAAGACAGTTTCAGTTTGTTTTATGCCCCAGAATGCCTTTCCCTCTTATTCAGGTAAAAACATAAGTGTATTAGAATAGAATAGAATTCTTTATTGGCCAAGTGTGATTGGACACACAAGGAATTTGTCTTCGGTGCATAAGCTCTCAGTGTACATAAAGCCATAAGTGATAAATCATAGTCATCGTAAAAATACGTTCAGCATAAATCATAAAATACAAGTTAATCAGAGTTGTCAGAATTTTTAATAAAGCATTATACAATAAACCATAACAACAAAAACAAATCTCTGGACATTTTTGTGGGTCAGATTAATGTCAGGTTCACTTTGACAGCTTTGCCTTCTCTAGTGATTAAACTGTTGGACTTTCAAAAGAACTATCTAAAGGGAGAAAATGGGGAAGTTCTCTGTGGTTGATGCTTTTTTGTTTGTTTTTATTTATTTGGACCCCAAATATATCTCTTGGACCTCAGTGTTCTTGTTTTTTTCACACCTTCACGCCAACTCAAAGAATATGACCAGTTGGAAAATAACAACTTTTGGGGGACATTCTTTAAGAAGAAAGTGAGGGGGAAATTCTGAGACAGACTACAGATTGGCATGGAACTGATGCTGGCACTTGGCTTGGTAAGTACAACATTCATCAAATTTTGGGTCTTGGAGACATCAAAATGCAGAAAGTTAAGATAATTCGAGGGTCTATGGAGATTCTCAGTGATCCATGTTGTCCCCAAAGATTCTTTTTCAAAAGGTAACTGGAGTTTCTTTGTTGTTTCGTTATAGACATTTCACTTCTCATCCAAGAAGCTTCTTCAGTTNAGGGTTTCTACCCCAATGAGATTAATGTTGAGTGGCTGGTGGGCAGCCACCATGGATTGCTGGCTCCCTACACCGAACCTCCCAGGCGTGATGTAAATAAGTACACTTTCAGTACTGTTAGCAGGGTCAACATCACCCAAGCAGATTGGTTGGAAGGAAACACTTACTACTGCCAGGTAACCCATGCGGCCTCACAAACACAGGTGAAAGGCAGAGCCAGGAAATGTGAAGGTAACCATGATGGAATGCAGACTCTGGTTTGTATAATGGGGAATGGACAAAGAATCAGAAAACAAGGAGGAAGAAAGCTAATCCCTTTATAAGACCTTCGCTCATGTAAAAATCCATACCTTTTCCAAAGTTCATGGCTTGCTAATAGTTAGATATTCAAGAAAATCCTCCCTGCTATTTTTCAGGCATAGTTGGAAGCAAGAATCATAGTTAAGATAGACCGACATGTGGAATACTATCCAGTGATAGGAACGGACACCTTAGCAATAAGTAAAACAATCTCAACCAGATCAGTGGGCAACATTTTATGAAACACACTGTTAGTACTAGTGGGCAACAGTTTCTTGCTACTTCATTATTGATATTGAAGTATAAATTTCTACTAATAACATGCTTTCTTCTTTTAAAAGATGGTTCTGAGGGATCTTTGCTTTAGGTTTACTGTAACGACTAATCTTTGGAAAGAGAGAAACACTAAGCCACAGCCAACTGGGTCCAGACAATAGGACATACCCTTGACAATTCACAAGTAAAACAGACAATGTTTTACCTGCATAAGCTCAAGAACTGATCTAGAAAGAAGAGAATAAATTAGATTAAGGATCTATGGGGAAAGGGAGGGGGATGTAAGGACTGACATCAATTTTGTATCCACAGATGCCAGCAGTCACTTCTCCACTGGGGTTACTGCCTACCTTCTGCCCCCACGGCCAAAAGACTTGTACATAAACAGAAATGCCAGGCTCCTTTGTGTGGTTGTCAATCTGCAACAGGAAGAGGGGTTGAAAATAAGCTGGTCACGTGAGAAGAAAGTTGCCATGCATCCAGAATTAGTGGTGGTGACTGAAGAAAACAATGGAACCTTCACTGCTGTTGGCCGTTACCCTCTCTCTGCCCTTGATTGGGAATCAGGAGAGACGTTCACCTGCTCAGTCGAATATCCAGGTTTGCCTGGTCCCATCGTGAATACAATTTCCAAGAGCCCAGGTAAGGAGGAAGCAGAGTGGCTCTCCAAGCACAAATGAGAACATTTGCAATACACAATGTGCACCACAAGGCTGGGGAGATAAGTTCAGTTGTCATCAATTATCTCCAGCCATGGATCTTTCTTTTGTTACCTCCCTTAACATCACAACATCTGTGGCCACTGAGCTGCATCCCTTGCTTCTAGGGCAACTTTGCCCAGCCACAATGTAGAATTGTGGCACTCCTAAGAGCTCTGGGGGGGTTAGTGAATTCAGGACTGGGCTACTTTCAGTATGTCCTGGATCCAAACCAAGCAGGTGGTTAGAACAAAGTGAGATATGGCTTTCCTGTGGTGCCACCCTCTAACATGAAATGTCCCCGGTGTAGACTTTGGTTTCCTCTTGTTACACTGGAGGATCTTATTGGAGGCCTTATGCAGCTTTTGATTAAATAA